TTTTTTTTTTTTTTTTTTTTTTTTTTGTATTGTTAATCCTCACCAAAGGATATTTTTCCATTGATTTTTAGAAAGAGTGGAAAGGAGAGATCAAGAGAGAGAGACATTGATGTGAGAGAGAAACATTGATTGGTTGCCTCCCGCATGCACAGCAACCAGAGCTGGAGATGGAACCTGCAACCAAGGTACATGCCCTTGACCGGAATCGAGCCTGGGACCCTTCAGTCCGCAGGCCAACGCTCTATCCACTGAGCCAAACGGGCTAGGGCTCCCCTGGTATTCTTAACTCATTTTTTGACTATCAACTTAAAGTCCTAGTTATTTTCTTTCTGCCTTTTGCACTTGTATTGGTTTTGTAGGTTAAACTTGAAAGGAATTTGTATAGTGCACAATTTTAAAACAGTTGGCTAATTGTTCAATGTTATATTTATTCCTGCATTCAAATAGCATTTATTAAGTACTTGCTGTGTGCGTTGGGAACATAAAGAGTGCTGAGTGTCATTCCTATGTTCCAGAGGCATAGGCTTCCAGTCTAGTGGAAGAGACACATATATCAACAGGCAATTAAGCTAGGAAAGATTTATGATAGAGATGTTAGAAGATAACAGAAAAATGTGGCCAGCTCTTCTTGGAAAGGTCAAAGGCGGCTTCCCGGGACTTAAAGGAAGTGCAGTCATTCAAGAAGAAAACAGAGAGAGCATTCCAGGCAAAGGCAGCAGTGCGTGTACGAGTCTACAAAAAGCCTGACGTGTTCAGGACACTTAAGTATGACTGGAACACAGAGTAGATTTTCATTAAGGAGATAAGGCCTCTGAAGAAGTTGGCAAGGCTCAGGCCCACGTGCCACCACTCTTGTTCTCTTCCATCGAGAGGCCTCCAGCCCTTCTCAACACAGCATTCCAGGCAGCCACTGACATGGTGCTCTCCCAGCCGGTGTGTGTGTCTTGTGCTAATGAGTGCAAACTCCTTCTGTAGACCAGCAGCTGCCCATGGAGGCAGAAAGGGTGTGTCCTATCAGAAACACCCAGGAACAAGGTTTGAGATACGTTTTCATTTTGAGCCCGGTAATTTCTTCATGGGTATTCATCATGTTTATTGTGATTTGCAATTTACATATATGTTACTTTATATATGTATGTGTAAAGTATTATATTCTAAGAAATAAAGAGAATAAATTATCTGTGGGGCTTTTTCACAGCTTACCTTTCTACGTAGATGTAACTAAGGGTTGTGTTATGGACAGTGATGCAGACACCACACTCTAAGTCTTTTCAGATCACAGCACTGAAGGACTGTATTTTTAGCACTTGTTCTGAAAGCAATGATTTTTTTTTTTACATTACCTGTTGTAGAGTTCTTTACAGTTTACTGTAGGTTTCTGGTCAAGAGCACATACCTCGGTTGCAGGTTCCATCCCTGGCCCTAGTCCAGGAGCATGTAGGAGGCAACCAATCGATGTGTCTCTCTCACATCAATGTTTCTCTCTCTCTGTCTTTCCTCCTCCCTTCCACTCTCTCTAAAAATCAATGGAAAAATACTAGTATACTCAGGCGAGGATTAACAACAACAACAAAAAGTTTCCCATGATAAAGGACAATAAATAAATATACTTAACATGGAAATAGCTCATGCAGATAATTCACACTTAAGACACACACACACAAAAAATGGACAAAGCACTTTGATTTACAAAAGAGGAGCTACAAATGGCTGATTAATTACCCAAAAATAACTGAACATTTCCTTCCCTATTTAAGAAATGCAAATGGAAGCAGAAAGACCTATTTTAGCTTTATTCTAGTATATAGCACATACAGGAAAGAGCAGAAATCATGACTGTACAGCTTACTAAATTATGTGAAAGTGATTACACCAGAGTTGCCACCCCCCAGGCCAAGCAATAGAACGTTACCAGTACCCCTGAAGCCCCTCAAAATCTCCTCACCATCTCTTTTCTAACCCAGAGGTAATCATTCTCCTGATTTTTTAGCAGCATAGATTTATGTGCTCTGTTTTTTAACGTTATACAAATGCAATCATACAATACATATTCCTTATCTGGCTTATTTTCAACAATGTGAGAGTCACTATGTTGTCACATAGAGCTGTGGTTTGTTCTGTTTCCATAGCTGTGCATATCCCATTGTGTGAATAGACCATAGTTTATCCATACTACCACTGATGGACATGTGAGTTGTTTCCAATTTCCGGCACGAATTTTGTGCACTGGGCCTCTAGTTAATAAATAATAGTACAAGATTAAACTCTGTTCGCATGCTCACAGCTATAAGCCTACTTTTGCGCCGCTGTATTTAAACTTGCTAAGAGAATAGATCTTAAAGGTTCTCATCACAAGAAAAAAAATTGTAACTGTGTATAGTGATGGATGTTAATTAGACTTACTGTGATCATTTTATAATACATACAAATATCAGGTATATCTCAAGAAGAAAAAAAGAACATTTGGTAGACGGTACCTCTGATAGAGAGGTAGAATCATTGCTCGGAATTCTCATTCATCCATACAAAGCCCCTCTTTTATTTTAGTCCATTTTTTTCTCTTCATCTTTGATCTTCACTCCCAGTTCTTCATTCCACTATTGGTTCCCACTTTAATGTGTTTGTTATATGTTTTTGGATACCTATTTACCGACTGTTGCTTTGTGTTCCTAAGTATTTAATACACATATACACATAAATGGTATTGTGCTGTAGTTCCTTGTTTCTGCCTGCTGTAGGCGATTTCTCTGCTTGCCTACTCATTTCTCTAGTGGCAGATGGCTGTTTTGCTTCTGATTCACTACTATAAGGAATGTTGCAATGAGTATCCTAGTTACATGCCTTTCACGGAACCTGTGCGTAATTTTTTTCTGTGGTTTGTTCCTTGAACTGGAATTTCTGGGTCAGGGAAATGCATACACAGTCTCACCAAGTATTGCCAGATTGCTTTTTAGAAAACTTGCCTCATTTTACATTCTCACCAGTAATACATGAGGGTGTCTCTTTCCCTATATGTCTACCAACTTTTGATATTATCTGCCTTTCTAAATTTTGCCATTTAATGGACATAAAGTGGCATCTCATTATTATTTTAATTTGTATTTCTTATACTATTAGTGAAGTTAGGCATCTTGATAAATTTTCTTACCATTTGGGTTTTGTCTTCTATGAACTGACTATGCCTTTACCCATGTTGGATTCTCTATTTTTTTTAAAAAAATAACTTGCTTATTCGTTTTATAATAATGAATATTAATAGATTTTGTTTGGCTTTATTACTATAAATGGTATCATTTTTATTTTCATTTTAAAAGGGAGAAAAGCTGTAGAAATACTTTCAAAGTCATGATAAAGTTAATTTTTGCTTTTAGTCCAGATGTCAGAGCGTTCCTTCAAATGGACAGTCCGAAACACCAGTCAGATCCATCTGAAGATGAGGATGAAAGAAGTACTGAGAAGGTAGTTAAAAGGAAATGTATTTTTTAACAGAAAAAATACCATTCCCCAAAGATGAAATTATTGGCAACTTTAGGACATATAGTTAAAACAAAGTCATTTTATCCATTGTAAATTTTCTGTTCTGTAGAATACATAAAAACAAATGTGTATACTTCTTACTGATCACTATTATAAAATTTATAAATGAGCACATTTTATAATAAAAAGTAATACATGTTAATTAAACAGTTTTGAAAATAGTAAAAAGGGAAGTATTACCCATACTATCAGACCCAAGTAATTTTTAACATTTTAGTGATTTTTCTTTCTAATCTTCTCTTATCATATAGTGATTTTTCAAAATTATCTTAATTCTAATTATATAGTGTATACAGTTTTGTATTCCACTCTCTTCACTTTACATCTGATTTTTTTAGTCACTATTTGCCTGCATCTTCATCACTATACTTAAATAGAATATTTTAATTTTTTATTTATTTTGTTTTTAGGTAAGACCATTTGTTGAAAAAACTATATTTTCTCTGTTTCTTGTATTAAAAAAATATTTTTTAATTTTCCATCCCCCCACACCTCTTTTTTGGCAACCATCAGCTTGTTCTCTATATCTATGGGCCTACTTCTGTTTTGTTTTGTTATTCATTTTTTTAATGTTCCACATATACGTGAGGTCGTACAGTATTTGTTTTTCTCTGACTTATTCCACTTAATAAAAGCTCTTAGGATCTATCCATGTTGTTGAAAATGGCAAGATTTCATTCTTTTGGTGGCTGAATAACATCCCATTGTATATATTCACCAATCTGCCCTGACCAGGGATCAAACCGTGACCTCCTGATTCATAGGTCAGTGCTCAATCGTTGAGCCACACTGGCTGGGTGGATATTTTTATTTTTTTTTAATAAATTATGATAAATATAATAAGTTCATGCCTTATTACGAAGCTATTCTTCTGCATTTACTTTAAAAATTATCTGGGAAAGGTAAATTATAATAATTTTACTTAACGGATTATTAGATAGCAATTCAAGTTATAATTACAAGTGTTATAAATATGATAATACCTTTATAATTCAAGATTGTTTATTAAAATATATACATGCAAATCAGAGGTTTGGGGTTGGAGGGCATCTTTGTTTTTATAATTTCTTTTAATTATGTCATGGTTCTCTTTTTGTAACTTAAAAGATAATAGTATGAGTTGGAACATGACTGTCCCACAGCTAGAACCTTCATTTGATAATAGATGTATTCCTTTTTTGCAACTGCTGCAAAGTAGTAATGTTTCTCTGAGACCCCAAGGGGATGCTCAGTTAAGAGAACAGGTTTAACTTTTTCATCTGTGACATGGTTGCTCCTAGGACAACATAAAAGAATCTTTTTATCTTATACTTCTGCGACTAATCCAAAGAATAACTGGAAAGCATTTGTAACTAATGAGGTAGTGTCTATATAAAAAGCACATATAAATGGATTTTTCAAAAGAATATTTAAGATCCCAGTAGATAAAAGAAAAAGGAACATGAAGAAATACTGTTTGTAAATAAATGTATGGGAAAATGTTCAGCCTTGATACCAATAGAAGAGTATTTTTAAATGAGATTTTTTTCCTCTCTATCAAGTTAACTAAAATGTAACGTAAATAAAATACTGTAGGACTGAGAAGGTAAGGTACAATGGGCACCCTTGGGCATTACTGGTGTCATTATAAATTTATGCAACTCTTTTGGAAAGCAATTTGGCAATATGAATCAGACATAAATATTCATGTCCTTTGGGAGTTGAGGCAAATGAAATAATCCTTCCTATGGAAAAAAGACAAAGATGTTTGGTTTAGTATGATTTATAATGAAAAAGTAAAATCACGTTAAACATTCATCAATCAAATAGTATGTCTCTATACATTGTACATTTAAAAAATATTTTTGAAGATATATTTTAAGTTTTGACATACTATTAGATGAAATCAGGGTATAACATTTTATATGCATATTCACACAGTGTGATTATAGCCAGTTTTTAAAAGTTATGCAAAGACTACAGTATATGAAATCACTGTTAAAAATTTACAAAATTATCTGTTGGTAAAGTTATGGATTTTTTTTTAAAGAAGTCTTCCTAGTTTTTCCATATTTTCCAACTATGAGTATATGTTATTAATTGAAAAAGATGAAAGTGTTGAAAAATATTTTAAAGGACAAAAATCTATATAACCATGGTTTCCCATGTTTTACTTGCTAATCATGTTGAGAGTATGTAGGTTTAGGTCAATTAGAGAATGTCTTACCTTGCTATAAGAGACAGCTGGTTTTGAAAGAACCAAACTGAGCCCACGGTTGGTTGGGTGTTGTCCTGTGCACCGAAAGGTTGCTGGTTCAATTCCCTGTGAGGGCACATGCCTGGTTGTGGGCTGGGTCCCTGGCAGGGGCATGCAGGAGGCAGCTAATCAGTGTTTTGCTCTCACATCAATGTTTCTCTCTCCTTCTCCCTTCCTCTCTCTCTCTCTTAAAAAAAAAAAAAAAAAGAATAAAAGAAAGAACCAACTGAAAGATTCCTGGCTCCTGGCTTCTATTTTGTCACTATTAGCTTTAGATCTGAATTTTGTTTCTTTTTTCTTTTTTCATCCATAAAATCTGAAACTTAGACTAGGATATCTTGCAGTTTTAAAATACTGATAAAAAGAATCTCCTTTAAAAAGGAAACAAGCTATACTTGTCTTGTACTTGTAACTCCTTATTAATAGTTACAAGTTAGGACTTTTAAGTCGATAAGTTAATAGCCAGATAATATCTTAGAAGGCATATGGACCTACCCCTTATTTATAGAGAGAAAAATAGAGGTCAAGAGAAGTAAAGAAACATGTTCTTGATTAGAGCTCACTCTGTTAATAAATTATACCTCACCTTCAGTTTAGTGATTAGAAGTAATATTTAAAAATAGCTGGGAGGGGGAGCTGGGGGATTGAGGAAAAAAGAAGAGAGAACTCATTTATGCGGACAACAGTGTGGTCATTTTGGAGAGGAGGGCGGTGGGTGGAGGTGGAGGAGGGCGTAGGGGGATAAATGGTGTTGGTTAAAAATAAAAATAGTAGGTAGAGTTAAAAGTTACCTAATTATACACTCCAGTAATTTTCATTATTATTTCAGAAATGTGCTCCCCTGGAAAAACTGTTGCCAAATAATAAAATCTTACTACATGTTAATGTAATTCAGAGGACAAGTTGTTCATGTTATTATTTAATCCACGCTTATTAAATTCGCTTCCCTCATCTAAGAAAAATTTATTGAATGGAAACATGATCCAATTCTCTGCATATCATTAAAAGAATAACTGTATTGAAATTACAATTTAGTTCAGATTATGTTATCATATTCTATGGGACACTATAATATATAAACATAATCATAGTATTAAGTCAGATTAATATGCTCTACAGCTTAAACTAGATGTATACAGTGCTGCTTGTCAAGTATATCTAAATAAAACTGGGGGAGGGGGGTTACTCTATGTTACAATTACGCCACAATAAGGTAATTCTCATTTCATGAACCATTTTCTTTTGTTTTGTGCTAGACTGTTATGGTTCCTTATATTTTTGTGTTCTGGGGTTGACCTTTTTTTTCTCTTTTTTGGGGGGGGATTGACCTTTTATTACAGAAAGATTTTTCACATAAAGGTATTGTTAGGAAATTAATTTGATTTGTAACTAAAAATTGGTGCCAGTGTTGTTGTTTCATAAGAAACATATTATACATCAGAACTTTTGTTCTTTATTTTTTAAAATAGCTTATATTCTGGAGATTGTTCATAAGTTTCAAATGAATTTAAGTGAAATGTATATGATATTTGTCTCTAATATGAAATTGCTTAGATAAAATTCATTGGTTATAATTAACTTAAAGAAGTTTTTAGCCTAGCCAGTGTGGCTCAGTGGTTGAGCATCGACCTATGAGCCAGGAGTTCGATTCCCGGTCAGGGCATATGCTTAGGTTGCGGGCTCCATCCCCGGTGTGGGGTGTGCAGGAAGCAGCCAATCGGTGATTCTCTCTCATCATTGGTGTTTCTGTCTCTCTGGCCCTCTCCCTCCTTCTCTGAAATCAATAAAAATATTTTTTTAAAAAAAGAAGTTTTTAAAAGCTTATTTCGTATCTATAGCTTATATGAAAAATCTTCTATAATAATAAAAGCATAATATGCTAATTAGGCCAGATGTCCTCCCGGACGACCTTCCGGACGAAGCCGGGGCTGCGAGGGAAGCCTGGGTCCTGGGTGTCAGAGGGAAGCCGGCGCAGGAAGCCGGGGGATGGAAGGCCTATTCTTGCATGAATTATGTGCATCGGGCCTCTAGTAATTACATAAGGCTCTAGTAAAAGTATCCATCTTTATTGGAAAATTTGAAAACCAAAAGCCATTTTTAATCAGGTTATTTTTTTTAAATCTTTATTGTTGATAGTATTACCGATGTCCCCTTTGTTTTGTTTTCTTTTCCCCACTGACCCCCTCCACCTTGCACCCGCCCCTCCCAGGCCTTCACCGGACTCTTGTTTGTGTCCATGGGCTATGCATATAAGCATATAAGTTCCCCGGATAATCTCCTCCCCCACAACCAGGTCTTTAAATGTAAAAACGACCCTCCACGGAGCTTTCCCCAGTTTACTTCATTCATTTTCCACTTTGAGCTTGATTTCTGCCTTACCCTTTTCCTTATAACTGCTCTTGAAATACATCATAAAAATGACTATGGATGTTTCCAAATAAGTCTATACGTTTATTTAGAATTAGGGCTTTAGGTTTCTTTCACATGGCACCACATCAAATACCCGGTGAAGTTAGGAAAACATTCATTGACCGTGGAAGCTCCATTATGAACTTTAATGTGTGTTTTTTTCCCTTCAACAGCTACACTCTACCTCACAGAACATCAACCTGGGACCGTCTGGAAATCCTCAGTAGGTTTGATTTGTTTCCAACAATCCTTTAAGTTATAGGAGGATCTTTTTTTTTTTTTTTTAATGTGAATGTTTAGATATAATTTGACCAGTTTAACTGGAAGGCTGTGAGATATAACCGTAGCTACAGTGAATATAGTACTGCCCTATGCTTGCCTAACTTACTGCTCTAGCTTTCCGTTGCTTTAGTAGAGCTCTGAGGCGTTTTTAACCCACAGATTATTGATCTGGTTCTATTTCACTTTTGTTAACTTCCCTCTCCCTTTCCCTCTCTCTGTCTCTTTCTGCCTCTCTCTCTTTCTGTGCATGTGTATGTGTAAAATCAGTAGACTGTATTTCCCAGGGGACCATAAATCCTAGGGGTACTTGGGAAGTGTTCCGACAGAAGTATCCGTACAGGCCTAATTGATACTCTCCTAGTACTCAGTGTCATTGGTGCAACCCTGGTTGGTAGCCAGCTTGCTCCAGAGTACTCATGACACATATTAGTTTATTAAAGGCTGCCAAACATTCTTTATGCAGTTTCTCCCGTATGTAATTGACCCTGGGAGGAACATTTTGAGGAACACCAGGAGTGGTAAATATAGATGCTATCTTGAGTGTCAACTGTAGCGATTCATTGGAAGGGAATGCCCAGAAACACCGAACACAAAGGATTCCGAGGCCACTTGGCTTCGGGGAGTGCCCTGGACAGTTTAGTGATGTCTGCCTGGGTTAGAGAAGGACTGCTGCTATCCTTTCTTATAATGATTTTCACAGCCTTATTGGACTGTTTCTAAAGTATTCTATCTTTTATCCCAGGATACTACGCTTCCCTCACCCTTTTGGTCCTCTTAAACAGTGAGTATAGACAGATAAGAGACATGGTCCAAGGATTGGGTCATGGGACACTTTGGCATTATAGGGAGGTCAGGGAGGAGCCAGGAAAGGACACTAAAGAAAGAGTAAGTGGTAAGGAAGGAGGAAAACAAGGAATGTAGTGTCACACAATCAGGTGAAGAACGTTTCTCGAGGAGGGAGGGAGTCATTGACTCAGTTAATATTGCTAATAGGGCAGGTAAGATGAAGATGGAGAATCGACCACTGGCTTCGATAAGTCACTGGTGACTGTTACGAGCAGTGTGTACAAAGACCCCGGCAGGAAAGGGTTCAAGACAGAACTAGAGGAGAGGACAGCAAGTATGGACAATGAGTTTAGACCACTTACTTGAGTTTTGCTGCAGAAGAAAGCACAGAAATGGGAGGGTAACTAAAGAGGAAGTTTGGTTTTGAGCATTTTACTGCCATCATAGCACTGAGTTGGTCAGGCAGCACAAAGACAGAAATTTGCTTTCAATTAAGGTTTATCACCAGCAGTTACCAGTGGGGCCTCAGTTAGTGTGTTTCACATGAGGGATTTGCATGTTTTTTCACTATTATATTTGTTTAAAAAATTATTTCAGTATCTCGGCATATCATTAAAGAACAAAATAACTAGTCCAAAGAGCACGTTCTTGAAGAAGAAAAACATCTAAGCTTAGTTAAGTATTTATTTCCCTAACCTTCACCTGTTACTATTTAACCTAGACTTGGTGTTACTCTCATGTTTGAATATACTATTTCTCTCAATGATGAATTGAAGGAAATGTAGATTCTAACTAGAGTCATTAACCTTTCCCTAGTACAACTTGGCAATTCCGACTGTGTTGAAGGAAACAGCTCTGCTGGCTGCTTATGCTCAACTTTCTGCTGCCCCGTGCTTTGCCTACATTCAGCCAATGCTTTTTTTTAACTGACAGGATAGTAGAAATAAGGACAATGTTAGCATTCCCTCTGGCTTCTCTACTCCTGGCTTTCCTATATTACCGCTTTTGAGAATAAGCAGAGAGAGGTCTTTATCTGTAATGTATAATAAGTGATATATATGCAAAGCACTGTGATGACATTTTTCTCCATCAGAAATTTTTCTTAGTGACTTTACTAGGTGTTTCAGCTGTTAACTTCCTTTTCGGAAGAATTACCAAACTCGAAAGTCCTTAGAAGGTATTACTAATTTATACAGTTATTCACTTTCTTCATTAACAACATCAGTGAGGTTTACAGTTAATAAAATTGGGTTAGATAGAAGCTACTTTGAGTTCAAAGATATATGTATCATTTTCTTCTAATGAGGCTATTACTGAAGTTTCTTTTAAGCAGAACTTAACAAGGCATAACGTTATAAAATATCAAGTTAGAAAGTAGATATTATTACTTATTATTGCCTATTTTGTTTTAAAAATGAGTTACCACTAGTGTGAAAGTTGAAGTCATCATGCTGAAGTGTTTTGTACCCAACATTTACTTATTAAAGAATGTGCTGAGAAATGTTTAAAAGTTAACATTTGTCCATTTTCTTGGAGGCTCATTCTTGTCGTTCATTTATTTCAGTGCTAAACCAACAGACTTTGATTTCTTAAAAGTTATTGGAAAAGGCAGCTTTGGCAAGGTAAGAGTGTGTTTATTTTCTCCTTCAGTAAATAAGTACTTAAGGAATGCATGCTTTATACTGGCCAGGCCACAAAGCCTGTTGGTATGCAGGACATGGAGTTAAGATGCTTTCTCTACCTTCAAAGTACTGACAGAATAATTAGGGAGATAAGGCATCTACTTAAATTCTAATATAAAATCATTTGTTCAGAAAGTATATGTTGAACAGCTACTATGTGCCACGCATTGTCCTGGGCCCTGTTTAGATAATACTGAACAAAACTGACATAGTTACTGCCTTTGGGACACTTACAACCTAGTGGGGAAAATAGTCAAATAAAAATATGCAATAAAATAGATAATTGTAAGTAGTAATGGGGCTGTGAAAGAATTGAAGAATAGAGCAAAGTGACAGAAAACTGTAGGGGGGGCGTGGTCAGTAATTGCTACTCTGATGGGTGGGTCAGTAATTGCTATTCTGAAGAGGTCTATTGAAGCTGAGGCAGAAGGACAAAAGTGAGCAGCTGTGTAAATAATAGTTGGGGGAGAAAGGGCTCTGGAAAGACCCTACTTCTCCTCAGAAGTGAGTGTCAACTGAACCATTTAACTTGACAGTGTGGCCACCAGGGAAAGACAAGGCCACAAGTGTCATAGATGGTGTTATCAGAATCATAAAATATATTTAAATGCTTTTTTTTTTGCATTATACTTCAATCTACAGTCAAAATAAATATGTATGTATTTAATTATAGTTTGCTATATTCGTAGCTTTCTGTATCTCTGGCTTGTTTTCTGAGTTCCCTAGATACCAGAAACTGTGACCATGCAGTTAAACCCATGTGTGTTCATTAACTCAGCAAATACATATTTTAACCACCTGCTACATGCTGGACAATAGAAAGATAGAAATAGATCTGCTCTCAAAATGCTCACAGTTCCTTGAGATGGTAGAGATACTCTGTCATTAATAACAGAAAGCATTATCTTTTGGAAACTTTATGTTTAGAGTCTACCAGGATTGGGTTCTTGCATACAATGTGAGGTGTAGGGTCACAGTTTATTTTGTTCCCTGTGGATAGCTAATGTATCCCACATAATTTATTGCAAAGACTGTTCTTTCCCCATTGATCTGCAGGGTAGCCTTCATCACATCTCCAGTGTCCATGTGTGCATGAGTCTACTTGTAGATTTTATGTTTATATTTGTTTCTAGATTGTGTATTGTGTTGCAGTAGTTGTTGCACCAATACCACATTGTCTATCCTTGCACCAGTACCACATTGTCTTGACAAATGTAGCTTGATTTCCAACAGAACCGGTCCTCCCTCCTTATTCTTCTTCGTGAGGCTATTCTTAGCTCTTTGCATATCTATATAAATGTTAGAAATTAGCATGCCAGTTTCCACAAGATTCTGTTGGATTTTGATTGGGATTGCATTGAGTCTATAGATCAATTTGGCAAGAATTGTTATCTTTACATTACTGAGTCTTCTAATCAGTGACCATGGTATATCCTTTTGTTAATGTAGTTCATCTTTATTTTTTCTCAGGACTGTTTCATAGTGTTCTGTAATGGGCTGGGTTGCATGCACTTTCAAGGACCCAATTACACATCTTTAATTAGATATTCATTCCTCTACATTGCGTTTTCTTTATGCTGATTGAAACTTGTTATTTATTGAAGCTGAATGTATGCAATACCTATGACACATTGGTTCTACTCCTAGCTATACATCCAAAAGAAATGCATGCACATATGCACTAGGAGAGGCATGTGCCAGAATATTCATAACATCGTTATTCATCAGCAATTTAAATGTCTGTCAACAAAAGAGTGGATTAAATTGTGTAATGCAGTAGTCTACATAGCAATAAAAATTTTTAAAATTATACGACATGCCACAACTTGAATGGGTATTAGATAATTTAGAGTGAAAGAAGTTAGTCAGAGTCAATGCTACATGATTCTTATTTTAAAAATTTTTAAATGATAATATCAAATTACTGGTGTTATTACGAGTTGAGATAGTGGTTACCTTTGAGGAAGACAGGGATGAGTAGTTTCTGGAATGGGGCCAAAGCGGGGAATTCAGGCTACCCAAAATGTTTTACCTTTTGACCTGGATAGTGGTTACATAATGTGTTCATTTTGTAATAATTTACTGAACTATAATGATTTGTGAGTTATTTTACTTATATGTTGGTTAATAAAAATTAAAAATCTTGCAAAATAATTGGAAACCAACAAAGAGCAGTAAAACAAAGAGAAACAGAATACACAAAAAGAAGGAAAAGCAGAAAAATGCAAATTCACAATATGTTTGAAAAATAGAAAAATATATATGATAAGCTAAAATAAATAATGGCAATCTAACACTTATTCTTATCTTTTCTCCAGCGAGTGGTCTTGGTTTCACTTTTCCATTTGCACATTTTTTGTTGTTTTTGTTGTTGTTGTTGTTAATCCTAACCTAAGGATAACTTTCTATTGATTTTCATAGTGTAAGGGAGGAGAGAGAGAGAGAAACATTGATGTGAGAGAGACACATTGATTGGTTGTTTCCCTCACTTGCCCCAACCGGTGGGGCTGGGATCTAGCCTGCAACCGAGGTACTTGCCCTTGACTGGAATCGAACCTGGGATCCTTGAGTCCACAGGCTGGCGCTCTATCCACTGAACCAAACTGGCTAGGCCTGCATATTTGTTTGTTAACCATTTGTCTGTTCTCCAAATCTACAATGGGGGAAAAATATACCTACTTGAAGGAAATCAGTACTTCCTAATTGCCACATTATTTGAATTACTATCTCAGAATGTACTTGAAGACGAACCAATGATAATAGAGAAGGAAAAGTCAGGCAGGTGTGAGGTGCTGAGAAAAGGAAAAGTGTAAGAAGGAAAGAACGTTCAACAGAGTCAAATATTGCGAACAAAAGAATGGGGCATGAGAAGAATGCCACCAGTTGAGCGCGGGCCAATTTCACCCTGAAGATGTTTAGACTACATCTTTTTGAATAACAAACATTTTTTTTCAAATTAATAGACTTCATTTTTTAAAACAGTTTTAGATTTACAGAAAAACTGAGTAAAGAGAAAAATACAGAAAGTTCGGAGATTTCCCAAACCATCCCCTAGTCTACACCCACAATTTGCCCTTTTATCCACATCTCACATTAGTATGGTACATTTGTCTAATGAATGAACCAATGCTGATGCATTATTATTAACTAAAGTTCATCATGTATTTAGATTTCGTTAGTTTTGACCTTTTTCTGTTCCAGATCTCATCCACCATACCCCATTACATTTAGTTGTGTGCTCCTTAAGTTCCTCTTAGCTGTGATAGTTTCTCAGACTTTCCTTGGTTGTGAGGACTGATGGGTTTGAGAAGCTCTAGTTAGGTATATTGAAGAGGTCCCTCTGTTGGGATGTGTCAGATATGTTTCTCATGCTTAGACTGGGGTTATAGGTTGGATGAGGAAGACCACTGATGTACGAGAAGGGAAGGAAGGCCCAGCAGTGTCACTGTTGTGCCAGATCATCTTAGAAAGCTTGGGAATGTGTCATTGAATAGTTACACAACTTGTGGGTCATCTTGAATTTCTTAAAATTACTTGCAAAATCTTGAGTATATGTCTACCTGTGTTCTGAGGCCAAATCCTCTTACGTTTCTTCAGGTCCTTGAAAGTGCATACAACCCAACTCAGCTATCCACGGTGCCTCTTCCTCTCAACTCTTCTGAGTGTGAGGCCTCTAAGAGAAACCTAAAAGTTAAAACAAAAATTTATTTTGATCATCTAGACACCATTTTCTTCTCCTTTTTTTTTTTTTAATGTAGCCATCAAGTTTATAGCCTCAATATTTTTAAGGACACTCTTCAACTCATGGTTGGCACACACACACACAGGCATAAAGATCTACAATAGTACAGATTCTGGTACTTAAATTTAGTAAAAATCTCAAACATCAGCACACAAAGAAATGGTGCCTGGCTATTCAAATGATCAACATCCTTTTTTGTTTTATTGAAATGCTTAAGGAAAAGTGGGTTTATAGAAATAAATTTAGTATTTTTCAAAACAACCTTATATTATCTAGGTCTTTTGTAGATTTTTTGTACAATTTCAGTATTGATTTATTTACAAGTGAGTTATTGCTGTTAAAGTATTGACATTTCTAATAGTCTGCGCAATCTCTAATTAAAACAGGTTCTTCTTGCAAAACGGAAACTGGATGGAAAATTTTATGCTGTCAAAGTGTTACAGAAAAAAATCGTTCTCAACAGAAGAGAGGTGAAATAAAAGAGCTTTGTTTCTCCTAAGCCCCTCTTTTCAATTAACAAAGCTATTTTATTGTGTATAATACAAGTTGATCCTTTACATTTTTTTTTTTTAACAGCAAAAACATATTATGGCTGAACGTAATGTGCTCTTGAAAAATGTGAAGCATCCATTTTTGGTTGGATTACATTATTCCTTCCAAACAACTGAAAAGCTTTATTTTGTTCTGGATTTTGTCAATGGAGGGGAGGTGAGTTTTATAATACTGATACTGTTTAGGAAAAATAGAATCAAGTCAAAGTTTTTCTTTCCTTATACATTTTTGGAAGGTTGGTCCAGCATCAACTGCGATTTGTCGAGTAGCAACAATATTTAAGGTGCTGGCTAATAAGCATGGTGCCAGCTCAAAGCTCTTCTTTTTTTTTTTTAAATATATTTTATTGATTTTTTACAGAGAGGAAGGGAGAGGGATAGAGAGTTAGAAACATCGATGAGAGAGAAACAACAATCAGCTGCCTCCTGCACACCCCCCACTGGGGATGTGCCCCCAGCCAAGGTACATGCCCTTGACCGGAATTAAACCTGAGACCCTTGAGTCCGCTGGCCGACGCTCTATCCACTGAGCCAAACCGGTTAGGGCTCAAAGCTCTTCTTAAATCAGCTTATGGTGTAGGTGGGGAGGTTCATAAAAGAAACTTAACATGAAGTTGCAGTCTTTGTGGATAGTTTTGGCACTCCTATAAAGCAAGAATAACATACTGAAATATTAGAATAAAACATGATTTATAATTTAGATAATTGTTGCTTTAATACTTGTATATAAATACTACTATACCCTGTCATTTTCTTTTTTTATTGAATTTATTGAGGTGACATTGTTCACAAAGTCATTCAGGTTTCAAGTGTACAACTCAGCAAACCATCATCTGCACATTGCATTACATGCCCATTGCCCAATGCAGTTTCTTTCCATCCCCATTTATCCCCGCTTTGCCCGCCTCTACCTCCCCGCGGCCCCCCTTGTCTCTGGCTGTCACCACACTGTTGTCTTTGTCTATGTGTTTTATGTGTGTGTGTTTTTGTTCACCTTTTTTCATCCAGCTCCCAAAACCCGCTCTCCTCTGACAGCTGTCAGTCTGTTCCATGTAACCATCCACGCCTTTGATTCTATTGTTTGTCAGTTTATTTTGCTCATTGGATTCCACATGTAAGTCAAATAATATTAGCCTGTCATGTTCTAAAGTGTTCAAACTATCAATCAGATGAGATGAACCTCTAATAAAGGGTTCTGTGGTGGAGTCAGTTTCACGTTATACCCCATTGGTGACTAACAGTATGTTTCTTGGTGATTCGCAACGTGTTTCCCCATGTGAAAGACTTTGAGCAGTTTGCCTTAAACAAAGCCAGGATGTGTTATACCCCATTGGTGATTAACAGTATGTTTCTTGGTGATTAACATGTGTTTCTCCATGTTCAAGACTTTGAGCAGTTTGCCTTAAACAAAGCCAGGATGTCTTTTTTGTTGTTGTTGTTGTTAATCCTCACCTGAGGATATTTTCCCATTGATTTCTAGAGAAAGTGGGAGGGAGGAGGAGAGATGGAGAAATATCCATGTGAGAGAGATATCAATTGGTTGCCTCGCAAACACGCCCTGACCAGAATCGAACACAAGACCAGTAAGTCTGCAGGCTGACACTCTAACCTCTGAGCCAAACCGGCTAGGGCAAGCCAGGATTTCTTTAAAAATACTGTTTTACGCCGAAACCGGTTTGGCTCAGTGGATAGAGCGTCTGCCTGCGGACTCAAGGGTCCTAGGTTCGATTCCGGTCAAGGGCATGTACCTGGGTGGCGGGCACATCCCCAGTGGGGGATGTGCAGGAGGCGGCTGATCGATGTTTCTCTCTCATCGATGTTTCTAACTCTCTATCTCTCTCCCTTCCTCTCTGTAAAAAATCAATAAAATATATTAAAAAAAAATACTGTTTTACTACATAGTCCCCTTGTTTGTTTGAGCCAAATCTGTTAATAATATTCCCCAAAACTCTGGATCAAAGGGATATTGAAATACATTTTGGGAAATGCTGCTGTTATTATAATAACTATAGTAATAGCTGACATGTATCGAGTATACTTATAGGCCCAGCACTCTGATTCTTTGTATTATTTTATCTTCAACAACATTTTATTATATAAAACAAAGAAATTGAGCACAGAGAAGCTGGCTAACTTGCTCAAGTTATATGGTCAGTAAGTATTGGAGCCAGGAATTGAACTCAGGCCGTGTGATTCCAGGATCTAGGCAGCTGACCACCCCCTATTTCTCTGCTTCTCAAGTCTCATGTCATTCTGATTTATTTGATCTCTGATCTGTGAATATCTCAAAAAATTACTTAAACTGGCAGGTATTTTCATATCTTTACAAAGGGATCTTCCATTTCCTCGTCTCAGAGAGAGAAAGAATATTTTAGCCTTACTATAGTACATATAACTGTAGAATAAAGGAACAAGAAGGAAGACCAATTTCTATTCTACAAACTGACCGGTGATCTAACACAGCTAGATCATTTGAGGGTAAGATCATAAAAAGAATCATTATTCAATCCCCTGCATCCATGACAAAAATGCCTTGTACCTTCTCAGTGTAGAGCAAAATTATGAATCCCTCAGGCACTTTGATTCAGAGATAAATGTGGCCGCACATTGTTCCCCCCTAAAAGTTGGTATTTTAGTGTGTGTGTGTGTATGTGCGCGTACGCACGTGCTAACATATAATGAGTTTATTGAGGGCATGGTACTTCGTAATTATTTTACATGCATTATTTCAATTAATCACAACTTTTTTAAAATTGATTTTTTAGAGAGAGAGAGAAACATCGATTTTTTTGTTTGTTTGTTTCACTTATTGATGCATTCATTGGTTGATTCTTTTTTTTTAAATATATTTTATTGATTTTTTACAGAGAGGAAGGGAGAGAGATAGAGAGTTAGAAACATCGATGAGAGAGAAACATCGATCAGCTGCCTCCTGCACATCCCCAACTGGGGATGTGCCCACAACCCAGGTACATGCCCTTGACCGGAATCGAACCTGGGACCTTTCAGTCCGCAGGCTGACGCCCTATCCACTGAGTCAAACCAGCTTTGGCTGGTTGATTCTTGTATGTGCCCTAACCAGGGATCAAACCCACAGCCTTGGCATATGGGAACAATGCTATCACCAACTGAGATGCCCGGTCAGGGCTCATCACAGCTCTTTGAGATAAACACTCTTATACCCATATTATAGATAAGGAAATGAAGGCTCAGAGAAGCTAAGTAACTTTCTCAATGCCACAATGTTCTAGTAAGTGTCAGACCCTGGATTTAACATAGATATAGGTACCACTGTGTGTCTTTGAAATGTCATGCGAGGCCTCTAACCGCAAATGAGATCCTACTGCACGTTTCCTGCTTTGCCTGTGGTTTCTTCATGCTGCTTTAAGACTTTGCTTCTGAGTTCCTTTTTCACAATGACTGCTCATAAATTTAGTGGCAAAGGAGCAAAGAGGCAGGCTTGTCTTCTGAAAGGTACTCTTGGCTGAGATAGGCGAGAGGGGGAAGAGAATGAAACAGAATGTTGGGGTGGATGGAGGAGGAGTTGAATGGGGCAATAGGTAGAAGAGGAATAAAGACAAGGAGAGCCCTAGCCAGTTTGACTCGGTGGATAGAGCTTTGGCCTGCGGACCGAAGGGGCCCCGGGCTCAATTCTGGTCAAGGGCACGCACCTCGGTTTCAGGCTCGGGCCCTGGTCGGGGCTTGTGCAGGAGGCAACCAATCAATGTGTATTTCTCTCTGACTCCCTCTCTTTTCCACTCTCCCTAAAGATCAATGGAAAAATATCCTTGGGTGAGGATTAAAAAAAAAAAGACAAGGAGAAAAGATAGAGATCGAAGGAGTGTACTTTCATTGTGTGTATCCTATTATTACTATTATTTTCCCTAATATTCATACTGACATTTTAACTTTGACATGTGATATTTATCATTGTATACTACTTCAGATCTGATTTGGAGCCAGGTAGAGTATAAACAAATAAGTTTTATGGTGCTGGGCATATAAATGAGCCTTTCTGAGCCTCAACTTTCTCATTAGTTTCCTACCTCAAAATAGTTGGATGGATTAAATAACACAAGCATACAAAGTCCTTAGCATAGTGCCTTTGATTTAGTGGGTGGTCAGTGTTAGCTGTTATTAGTGGATGGTCGGATTTTCATTTGGGGTGATTTTCATTAGCATTATATTGGAGAGATGTAATCAGGATAGCATTAAATATAATATTACAGTGGTGTATGCTACAGCTAGTAAAAACCGTGGTAGGGATAAAAAGGAGGAAGTAGTTCAGAAATAATTAGAAGAGAAGAATTTATTCTGGGTTGGATGCAGGGGCTAAGGGTAAAGGAGCAGTACAGGCGAATCCCAGTTCAGCCCCCATTTATCTACTCTGTCAGGATCTGGCACTGATCTTCACCCTCACCTTTCAGAAGAGTTTTAAGAAAAAAATTTGGACAATCTTGGAAAATCAGAGAAGCATACCAAAAGGGAAGAATCAGAATTTGAACCCAAATCTGATCAGCTGTGAAACCTGACTCTTTCCGCTGTATCTTGTTGCCTCCCATGGCGTAGAGGGCTGGGTAGAAAGCGATATCATTAAAGGAGAGACACAACAGGAGCAGTCAGTCTGTAAGAGAAGACAAGTTGGATTTATTGGCTTATGAAATATTCAAAAAAAGAGCAGCCTGTCTTTGCAGTAGAAGCTCCAAACAGAGGTCTGGGTTAGAGACGTCCACGTGAAAGACATCCACATAGAGGTGATGGTTAGTCATGCAATTGGATTTGGTTACCTGGATGGTATGCATACAAAGAATAACAGTGGAGAAACCCAGGACTGAGAAACCTTGTTAATCCCTGCAGTGTAAGGAGCCAGAAAGGAGAGGAAGTAGAACTCTCCAAGAGGTAGAAGATCTAGGGAGAGATAATTATCTCTCAGATCATTGTCTTAGAAGCCAAGAAATGTAGAGTAAGTTGAGCAAACTTCACCCAGGCAGGTAACCTAATGAGTAAAGGATAGACGGGTTATAAGAAATAAATTCAGAATTAGGAAGTATAAGAAATAAACTGGAGAGTGCAGCTACTGCTTAGCTCTAGCCATTTGCTATCACATTGGAATTTAGGCTCCATGATGCAGAGCTCTCCCCCCCGCCCCCCCACCCACCCAAAAGAAACCAATTTTTACCAAAAACTTTTTCTAGTTTTTATATGTTACTATTTAATTTAGATTTTTCTAAAAACAGTGTTTGGCTCAAACAGATTATATCTGTGGGTTATATTTGGTCTGCTAACCACTAGTTTACAATCTCTGAATAGTGTTTGGTGTTTTTCCAAAGGAAAGAACAGTCAAAATAGGTCCAGTAAGCTATTGTAAGTACATGGCAAGGTCAAGATCATTGGTCTGCACTGGTGGTCTTTTCCAGAGTGGTTGCCTGGAGTGGTGAGGACAGTGCCACATTGAGGATTGCAGGGTAAATGGGAGATGAGTAAGTTAGCAGGGTAATGAAAGATGTGTGGTTGAGGAGAGACCGTGATTGCTAAGTTGGGGCCACACACAAGGGAGAGTCACAGTTCTGTGCTTTGGTGCAAAGTAACACCAAAGTAACAAAAACAAGCCCTATTTTTATATTTATAGAACATATTTGTTTCACTCTGTGAATGATCTTAATTTTACAGCTGTTTTTTCACTTACAAAGAGAACGGTCCTTTCCTGAACACAGAGCAAGGTTTTATGCTGCTGAAATCGCCAGCGCATTGGGTTACTTGCACTCCATCAAAATAGTGTACAGGTAAGTTTTTTAAATATTACTTGTAAAAAATGTCTTCTTCTCATTTTATTTCGGCTAATATTCACGTTTGCTTTTCTTTCCTTTTAATTTGATAGAGACTTGAAACCGGAAAACATTCTTCTGGATTCCGTAGTAAGTATTGTCTTTTAAAAATCTACTGTTTCTCAGTTTTTGTTGTTATACTTAGTGGAAAAAAGCTAGCCTCAGCCCTAACCGGTTTGGCTCAGTGGATAGAGCATTGGCCTGCGGACTCAAGGGTCCCAGGTTCGATTTCGGTCAAGGGCATGTACCTTGGTTGCCGGCACATCCCCAGTGGGAAGTGTGCAGGAGGCGGCTGATCGATGTTTCTCTCTCATTGATGTTTCTAGCTCTCTATCCCTCTCCCTTCCTCTCTGTAAAAAAATCAATAAAATATATTAATAAAAAAAATATTAGCAATATGCAACTTTCAGTATGTACTGTCTAGAGCAGTGATGGCGAACCTTTTGAGCACGGCCTGTCAGCATTTTGAAAAACCCTAGCTTAACTCTGGTGCCGTGTCACATATAGAAATTTTTTGATATTTGCAACCATAGTAAAACAAAGACTTATATTTTTGATATTTATTTTATATATTTAAATGCCATTTAACAAAGAAAAATCAACCAAAAAAAATGAGTTCGCGTGTCACCTCTGACACGCGTGTCATAGGTTCGCCATCACTGAACTAGGAAGTCATGGTTCAATTCCAGGTCAGGGCACATGCCCGGGTTGCAGGCTTGATCCCCAGTGATGATTCCATTTTATATAACATGTTTGCAATGAAAGAACTATAGAGATGGAGATCAGATTAGTGGGTGCAAGGGCACAGGGATCGAGGAGATAGTGGAGTGCAAGCATACAGGATAGCACCAGGGATTCCTTTGTTCCTTTGGGATTGATGGATGCCTGATTGTGGTGGTAGATATACGAATCTGTACATCTCTGTTACATAGAACTACACATACACAAATGCATGCATTACAAAATAGTGAAAACTGAATAAGGTTGGCAGTCTGGTTAATATTCTATCAATGCCAGTTTCCCAGTTTTGATATTGTACTACAGTTATATGAGGTGCCAGCATTGGGGGGAGCTGGGTGAGGGGTACATGGAACTCAATGTATTATTTCTGCAGTTTGCCTGTGGGTCTATCATTATTTCAAAATAAAATGGTTTTTTGAAATTGTCAGTTTATGTTCATGCATTGTTTTATCTTATTGCCCCTCTATTTCTCAGGGACATGTTGTCTTAACAGATTTTGGGCTTTGTAAAGAAGGAATTGCTATTTCTGATACCACAACGACATTTTGTGGAACACCAGAGGTAAGAAGGATGTCTCATTTGTCATTCACATAATCATGTATAAAATGAAGAGATGAATCACAAATTGCATATACAAAATTTGAAATCAGAAAACTAGAATAAAACCTATCATTTTAGCTTCTGCCATTTGGAAATATCTGATAATCATTTCTTTTAAATAAAGTTTATTGATAGTTGGTATTTTTAACTGTGATAGTGCAATACCACCACCAGATAACACACCAAAGATATAAATTATGCTTGTTTTTATTGTTTACCTTAGACTTCTTTTTTTTTATTGTTAACCTTCACGCAAGGATATTTTTCCATTAATTTTTAGGGAGAGTGGAAGAGAGAGGTAAAGACAGAGAGAAACCTCAATGTGAGAGAAACACATTGATTGGTTGCCTCCTCCATGTGACCCGACCAGGGCCTGGGCCTTGAAGGAGCCTGCAACCAAGGCCCTTGACTGGAATCGAACCTGGAACCCTTTGGTTCACAGGCCGACGCTCTATCCACTGAGCCAAACCGGCTAGGGCTACCTTAGACTTCTTTAGGCATTTGATTTTACTTCTAATGCTTCCAAATAAAATCACAAATCAGTGATGAAAATATCCTAAAGTTGTGATAATGTTTGCATAACTCTAAATATATTAAAAACCATTGAATTGTACACTCTAAATGGGGGAATTGCATGGTTTGTGAATATCTTAATAAAGCTCTTTTAAAAATAAGCTGAAGCAAATATGGCAAGAGATTGGCATTGCCTATATTTAGATGGCATCTTTATTGGTTCCTATTATATTTTACTATTTTTATGTATGGTTAAAATATTTTATAATAAAATTAAGTGTTTATTTAACAGAAGAAAATAAGACAGAGGATATGGTGGGAAATTCACAAATCAGAATTCATTAACCCAAACATCCCACTCTCTAAGCAGAAATGTATCTTTCTATTTGAGATAATAGTCCTTACAATTTATGTTAAAGCCTTCTTATTCTCTCTCTCTCTCTTTCTCTTCCTCTCTCTCTCTCTCTCTCTCTCTCTCTCTCTCTCTCACACACACACACAAATTTTAAGGTATTTATAGTGATTTTAGGTGCCAGGTAGTATTTCATCATTATTGCCGAATAATATTGTTGAAAATGTGTGATATTGTTGAAAATGTGTGATAGACTGGCTCACATGACACTTGTAATCAAGATCAGAAACGTAATTTAAAGTAGCTGTAAGCAACAATATTTACTTTAAAATGTATTTTTTTTTCTTCCTTTCTGTACTCTAACCTTGTTCTTGTGTATATTTGTAACCATTCTATTTTGGTTTATGTCTGAAGAAACATTTTTTGTGAATGTATATTGATGTCATAGTTAACAAAATCTTTTAAGTCCTGTAGGTTTTAGAAAGGAACAAGTTCTTTTGCCATCTAAGTCTAAATGTGGTCAGAAATTATTAAACCCTTTTAATTTATTTTGCCATTTTTTGGAGCATATAAAAAAGCTTAAGAAGAAATCATTTCCTTATTTCATATGGAAAAGGAAAAAATATTTTTTGGAATCTGAAATTCAAATTAACCATCTTATATTTGTGAAATGGTTATGAGTTTAAGTATTTTATAAGTTAAAGTGTAAATAGCTGTGTAATAACTTAAACATTTGTAAATAATATGTTAGAGAATTACAGTTGTAATTTCCTAAGAAGAATGCAATTCATTCTTTTTCTTTCATTGAAAAAAAATGAATTATAATTGCCACATTAGTAATCCTTTCTTTGGGAGAAACAATTATGAGTAATGACCAGAGGAATTTTTTTTAAAATATATTTTATTGATTTTTTACAGAGAGCAATGGAGAGGGATAGAGAGTTAGAAACATCAATGAGAGAGAAACATTGATGCCTCCTGCACATCCCTACTGGGGATGTGCCCACAACCAAGGTACATGCCCTTGACCGGAATCGAACCTGGGACCCTTGAGTCCACAGGCCAATATTCTATCCACTGAGCCAAACAGGTTAGGGCCAGAGGAATTTTTAAGATAAATTAATCTTGTAAAAGATTTCCTCCTGCCGAAACCGGTTTGGCTCAGTGGATAGAGCGTCGGCCTGCGGACTGAAAGGTCCCAGGTTCGATTCCGGTCAAGGGCATGTACCTGGGTTGCGGGCACAACCCCGGTGGGAGCAGCTGATCGATGTTTCTCTCTCATAGATGTTTCTAACTCTATTTCTCTCTTTTCCTCTCTGTAAAAAATCTAAAAAAACAATAAAAATATATTAAAAAAAAAAAAAAAGATTTCCTCCTCTTCCCCTCCTCCCACACATGCAAAGTACCTACTTTGTATTAGAGTTTTCTACATTCGCTGCCCTTTTCTGTTTGTCTTAACTGCATCACAGTTTCTGGGGAAATCTTTGAGTATGTGTATTTTGAAAAATGTCCCAATGGATTTTGAAGAATCACTGGTATAAAATGAAAATTGGAATGAAAATGGAAATACCCAACCAATTTAAAATCTAGATATGTTTTTAGCATAATAGTAATACCTAAAATTTGTTAAATTTCTCAATTATTTCCAAACTTTGTCTTGTTTATTGAGTTGCACTAATATTTCATCTTTTCTGTAGTACCTAGCACCTGAAGTGATCAGAAAACAGCCCTATGACAATACTGTAGATTGGTGGTGCCTTGGTGCTGTACTGTATGAAATGCTGTATGGGTTGGTATGTATTTCTACTCTTTCATTATTTTCCCAATATATTATAATTGATTTGCATTTTCTCTTTTCTCTTTCTCTTTCAGTAATCTTGTGGACACTTAGGTAACATTAATAGAGTAGTGGTAACATGGTAAAAATGAGTCCAAAACCATGTATGCACAAAAAGAAAAACTTACATTTTGTTAATAGTTTTTAAATGTAATTTTTCTATCAGAGTAATTACTGCTTCAGGTATTCTCCTCCCTCTCTCATTTTATTGAAATCGACACATAGTTGTAATATTAAAATTATCCACTTTTATTCAGTTTACCCTAGTCATCATTCTACCTAATTTCAAAAAGATGGAAAGAAAAAAAGATGTTTGTATTTATTAGAAGATACTGCCTTTTGGGTTTTCCTTTGTATTTTGTTTTTATAGGATTTAATTAATACACTGGTGCTCCACTTTTTCCATCACTGAGAACCATCTCTTCCATTCACCGTATATACCATGTCTTAAGATTTCATTTTTTTTTAAAAAAAAAAAAAGGGATGTTTACTATGTAATGTTTCCCCAGCTAGAGCTTCTGATTAACATGAGTACATTTGTTTTGCTACATTGAGTTAATACTCCAACCTAAAGCAAACAATTTAGGCATTTAAGTGGGTTTACATATCCTTGTAGCAATAATGTACGCTTTTATTTAGCCTTTTGGAACTAGTTGGAATCTTTTCTAGTTTAAAAAAAAGGGATGTTTACTATGTAATGTTTCCCCAGCTAGAGCTTCTGATTAACATGAGTACATTTGTTTTGCTACATTGAGTTAATACTCCAACCTAAAGCAAACAATTTAGGCATTTAAGTGGGTTTATATATCCTTGTAGCAATAATGTACGCTTTTATTTAGCCTTTTGGAACTAGTTGGAATCTTTTCTAGGCTCCCTTTGTGGTCCCATGGGTGTCCCGTGGCCTCAGGCTGGGAACCATCCACTCATCCCTCCTGGTGCTGCCTCCACTAAGCTAAATAACACCATCATCTGAGACCTGAGCTGGGGCTTGTTATTTTGTTCTGCTTTTTATTTTGTATTTTCCCCACCACCCCACCCCCACCCCCCGAAAACTGGGGAGCTCTCAGTACATTTAGGAGCATTTTTCTCATGTTGCTAACTTTGAATGATAGATTCTCATGACCTCCAACACTGTCTCTTCTTTGCTCTTGACTAAGATCCACTTGTTAAAAGATCTAGTTTTCTTGTTATGCCCGTGACTTAGAACACCTCAAACCCATTTTATATCTTACTTTAAGTATTGGATAGTTGCCATTAAGATATCTCTGAGTTCTTTTAATTTCTTTAGACGACTTTGAAAGCATAAAATATTATCATTGTGTATAAAATGCAGTTGATTCGAACGGGAACATTTGAAACATATACTGGTACTTCATTAATTAACTTATATTAACTATATTAAAATCAAGCTAGATTTTTAAAAAGTAAAAAATAAAGTTTTTCTTCCTGCAGAGTACACCCATAATGCCACAGTACTTAGGAAGGAGCATGATCTTTAGGTCTTCATCTTTTCAGGCAATCTCTGTTTTAATTTATTTATTCCCAAGTCTCAAGAAATTATTTAATGTTGAATCTCTATTTCCAATAATTCTATCATTATGCCCATGATGAGGTTGGTGGTGGTTTTCTTTAAAACAGATACTATTGAAACTTTTATACAATTGGCACCTGTGTTATTGAACAGACTGGCCCTAATTCATTCAATGCACATGCATTAAGCTCTCTGTGTGCTGGGTTTTAAAATCTCTTTGCATTAAAAGGCCACACTGCACCCAAAGACGCCTGTGTATTTCTTTTGTCCAGACCCAGTCTGCTCCCTATAGATCAAGGCCACATCCAACTATTTTAACCCAAACATTTTGGCATAGTTCAGTTCACACTAACTTTATTTTACTTTTTTTTCCCCCAGCCTCCTTTTTATTGCCGAGATGTTGCTGAAATGTATGACAACATTCTGCACAAGCCCCTAAATCTGAGGCCAGGAGTGAGCCTCACAGCCTGGTCCATTCTGGAAGAACTCCTAGAAAAAGACAGGCAAAATCGGCTCGGTGCCAAAGAAGACTTTGTATGTATATCTCTCCCACTCTGTTTAAGCTTATTTATCCTTTGAAGATAAAGCCTTATTTTATGTGGTATTTGATGGGATGAATACAGCTCTTAAAGAAGAGCACCATGAAAACGCGTAACTTGTCCCAACAACTTTCACCAGTGTTTATACGTACAGAACTATACAGGGTTTGAGCACTTGCATCCTTTCAGTTGATCTCTGTAACAGTACCATCCTCTCCTCTTCGTCTGTCACATCCAGCTTTCACACTCTTATTATTTATTTGATTTTTATTTATTAAAATTTTTCTCCTCACCCTTCTTTTTTAAAAATTTTTGATTACCTGAACTTTTAGATCATGTTATTTAACAAGAATCTAAGTCCTTCCTGACCACATGAGGCGGTGCAATTTATCTTGAACCAACATGAAATCACTTTTTTCCCCCTGAGAATTTGGTGATACCTCCTTGAGATAGTTATGGAGTCTGTGGGTTTGGTTTTTGTTTTGTTTTTTTAAGCAGGGTAATTAGATTGCTAGTGTAACTTGTTATCTTAGTGTGTCAGTATTCAGGAACTGTTGAGGAATAAGAACTTTTAAGTTCATTTAAATTTCTCAGAAATTCTTTGGGGCTGTTGACCAATTTGAATGTGAGCTGTGAATAACAAACTTGTCTGCTACTGATCTCCTCCTCCTACACGTCCCAGTTCGGGCAGATGGCTCTGTCAACAGTTCTCTATCCAGCTTTGATTCCCGTCTGTTGTTTCAGTCAGTCTTGCTAATACTTCACACCTCCGTGCCCCGTGGTCCTTTTATTGAATTCAGAAATCGCAACCCTGGATGAATTCAACTGTCATCTCTGGGCTGCTGTTCGTTGCTGGAGAAAGTTTCACAACTGGGCTAAACTTCCAATATGTGTGTGTGTGTGTGTGTGTGTGTGTCTACACTAACAAGAAATCTTTGGACACCAGTAAGGTGACACAGTTTTTAAGTAAGTGTTTATAATGAGATGTTTATAGCCACTCACGAGGCCTTTTTGGTCTTCTGGGGAGGAGACGTGGAGGAGGAGATGTCTGTGATTCTAGCAGGAATTATTACACAACAAGATTTCAATGAGTGTTTAGGAAGAACCAAAGAGGAGGAAGCACTTTGTGAGGTAAAACTGATCACACAAATTAAAACTTAATACAGCGGAGGGAAACTTGGTAAGTTTGTCTAAGTTAAGTGTTCTTCACTCTGAAGCATTTGCTACTGAAACTGGCGTTAACACGAAAGAGTTCCTGGTACCAATATTAAGGTGTGTGTATGTGGAGGCCTCCCCACAGCAACAAGCAATTCTCAGATACCAGAATTGATAGTGTCCATCCTGACACTGTCTTCTCAGAGACAGAATCACATTCCATGAGTAAAGGGCTCAGTCCCACAAGACAGCCCCCCATCTCAGATACCAGTCACAAGCCCAGGTTGTTACCTGTGTGTCCGACAGACGGCTATAAATCAGGGGTTCCCATGACCCCTCCTTTGGTTCAATTAATTTGCTAGAATGGCTTACTGAATTTAAGAAAACCCATGCACTTACTAGTTTACCGAATTATTATAAAAGGGATATGGCTTGTTTACCTCTTGAACTTTACCTCCTGTGACTGTCCCATTTTTCCCTGTACTGCAACCATGCTGGACTCTCATTTTCTTGACCAAGCTAAGCTCTTTGCCACCGCAGGGCCTTCATATTCTACCTGCATTGTTCTCCCCTCATTCTTTTTTTTTTTTAATTTATTGGGGTGACATTGGTTAATAAGTGTACAGTTCTATAGTACATCATTTGTATATTGCACTGTATGCTCACCACCCAAAGTCTAGTCTTCCTCTATCACCATATATTTGACCCCTTTGTCCTCTTCCTCCTCCTACCCCCCATCCCCTCTGATAACCACCCTTCTGTTGTCTGCATCTGTGAGTTTGTTCATTTGTCGCCTTTTTGTTTTGTTTCCCACATACCTCATTCTTTAGCTAATTCTTACTCATCTTTCAGAATTCTGATCAGACATCACTTTCTCTAAGAAATCTTTTTAAACCACCAAACTAGGTTGGATCCTACTTTATACACTTGTGTGGCACCCTACGGGGGGAAAAAGCTGGAATCAGTTCTTTGCCAACTTTTGATAGTAGCAACTCAGAGCGGAATACTTTAAATTTGTAGTAAAGTTCATCACCTTGGTTTTACCTCTGTCCTACAGTGTAAAACTCCCTTGCTTAGCATCTTACTTACCTGCCCCATTCAGATAATAATAATTATTATTTGTACCTATGTAGTACTTTCATCTTTTTATACCACTCTTATTTTTATATTCTCCATTTATCCTTAAAACAACCTGTTAAGTATCTAAGGCAGAAATGTCAACTCTGTTTTACCTATGAAGAAACTATGATAGTGAAGAGGATAAAGTGTGCCATGTGTACTCAGGTAGTCTTTCTGCTATACCACTCTGCCACATAAATAACATAAACATGTATCTAAAAAAAATTATTGAGGAAACAAAATGGTAATGGTTTGGTTCCATAAAATTCTTCAGTGAGTACTTAATATATTCTTCAGCATTAGTTTAAAATGTATTTTTTTCTTTAATATTCTAGCTTGAAATTCAGAATCATCCCTTTTTTGAATCACTCAGTTGGACGGACCTTGTACAAAAGAAGATTCCACCACCGTTTAATCCTAATGTGGTAAGTATATATATCCAAGTCCTTCCTTCTAAACTAGTGAAATGTAGAACTGTAGCTCATCATAATTTTAGGAAAGATCTCAAAATCTAACCTGAGTGAAATTGAATCAGTACGTAAATATATGTGAAATATGTCACTTCAGGATGACCAGTAAGATTATAGTTTTTATTAGACTGATAAAAAAAAATCTTTCAGTACAATAATTGTGAAGTATTTGTAGATTGACTTATTTCATTTAGCTCATTCAGGAGTGACTGTTTCAGACATGGCTCCATTAGGGACAATTTCTGCTCCTAATTTCTAGCGTTTGCAATAAGAACCTTGGATCTTTAAGAATAATTTAATTTTTCTCTTTAAATTAAGAGTCCACTGAGGTTAGTTATTTGCAAATAAATGTGTCATCCGATACATTAAAGAGTTAGGGATTCCTCCTAAGCACCCCTGGAAATGGCAACAGTGTTGACGTCAGAGTCAGACACCTACAGGTTTGGATCCCTGCTTGTTCTATGACTAATTAATTAAACTTTTTAAAGCAAGACCCACAACTCGGAAGCCATAAGAGAAAAAAATTGGTAAATTTGACCACATAAAATTTAGAAATATTTGCATGGAAAAAAAACTGCAAATAACAAACTGGGGGAAATTTCCTTAGTACATAAAGCATTCTTATAAGTCAGTGAGAAAAAAAAAAAAAAAAAAAAAAAAAAGACCAAGCACAGACAAAGGAAAATTCTGAAAAATAAATACAGGTATCTTTTAAGTATATGAAAAGATGTTGAAGGAATGCAAAATAAAATCCTTACAGGTTTTTTTCACCTAATAGATTAACAAAGATCAAAAAGTTATCTATCCTAGAATAAGCTAGATATTCTCATTCACTGTTCTCAATACTTGTATTCTTTTACTTAACCCTGACAACAATCCTATGAAATAGTACTGTTATTTTACACCATACTTCTGATGAGTGAACTTAAGCACAGAACAGGTTAAGTAACCTGTCCACAGTTTAATTAGAGTTGCAGAACTGGAGTTTGAAGACAGAGCCTTCCCTCACTCTTAACATAAGAAATATGGTACTGTCCCTGACAGTACTAGCCATGAGCCATAAGGGCATTCTCAAAATATTTATAAAGTCAGGCAAGAGAACATTTATTGAGCACCTTCTACGTGTCAGATTCTGCGAATTTTATGTATTAATGCATCAAATCCTTACAAGTTTAACAGACGGGTGGCAGGATTCTTATTTTACACAAGAGGAGGCAAGCTTTCCTCTTACAGAAGAGATAGGGTAGGTTATATAAAGAATTCTAGCTAGCAAAACTCATAGCCAGAGTTTTATTTCAGAACCCCTGCTTTCTAAGGTTATATGTAAGAATTTGGTGACATTTTATATGTATATATAATTTCTAGTGTCTATTTTCCTCTGTGGTGGAATTTCTCATGTAGAAGGATAGAGCATTCTGGGTTTTCCTGGCTTCTGCTCTGCTGTTTGTAGACCTACCAGGCTAACTATATCCTTAGCTTATAATAACTTCTCTGAGACTCTATCTGTTCACCTTGGTTAGACTTGGTGAATTGAACTTTTTAAAAATATATATATAATTTTATTGATTTCAGAGAGAAAGGGAGAGGAGGAGAGAGAGATAGAAACAGCAATGATGAGAATCATTGATTGACTGCCTTCTGCATGCCCCCTACTGGGGATCGAGCTTGCAACCTGGGCATGTGCCTTTGACCAGAATCGAACCCAGGACCCTCAGGCTGATGCTCTATCCCAGGGGTCCTCAAACTACGGCCCGCGGGCCACATGCAAATACAAATATTGTATTTGTTCCCGTTTTGTTTTTTTACTTCAAAATAAGATATGTGCAGTGTGCATAGGAATTTGTTCATAGTTTTTTTTTAAACTATAGTCCGGCCCTCCAACGGTCTGAGGGACAGTGAACTGGCCCCCTGTTTAAAAAGTTTGAGGACCCCTGCTCTACCCACTGAGCCAAACCGGCTACGGTGTGAATTGAACATTTTAAAGCTTCCCTTTCTCTTAGAGCAGAGCTAACTAGAGTTTCAGGGATGGGCTTTAACGGTGAAGCACCTCAATTTGCAACCCAATTTTATCCGTACATACATTGGAAGGGGCTAGGCCATTCGCTTGTGAAAGAAGATTAAGAACCATTGCCTTTGAGCCTAAACAGACACCGTGCTTCGTGCTTCATTTTCTAGTTTCCTGGTCCCTTTAGACCTTTGGAGCTAAGGGTCTCATCACTGAATGCTTAGTGACCTCTGTGGCACAAGAGTCACCTTTCACAGTTTTACTTACAGCCCCTCCATTCCTTCATCAAAAGGCTTCATTTGCCCTAGCCGGTTTTGCTCACTGGATAGAGCATCGGCCTGTGAACTGAAAGGTGCTGGGTTCGATTCCGTCAAGGGCACATGCCTGGGTTGTGGGCTCAATCCCCTGTGGGGGGCTTGCAGGAGGCAGCCGATCAATGATTCTCTCTTATCATTGATGTTTCTATCTCTCTCTCCCTCTTCCTTCCTCTCTGAAATCAATAAAAATATATATATATTTTTAAAAAAGGCTTCATTTACCCAAAGTTGAGAAACTGGAATGGCAGGTACTTCATGGAAGCTGAAATGCAAAATGCTGTTCTGAAAACCTACCTGAACCCTTTTTCTAAACTTACAGGTGATGAGTAGAGAGCAGGGGGGTCGTTTGCAGGGACTGAGATTTATATTAACATTGGTAAGGCCTCTGATGCTAGCTCTCCTTACCCTTCTCTCTCCTACCCCCACCCAACAACAAGTACCTTACCTATTAGGACCTCACCTAGGTAATAAAAGCAGAAAATGATCCAAAGCAATGATGAAATAAGAAGACAGCTGAACTTGCCAGGAATCAATATACACATCCATGAAGGGTTTAATGAAGAACTAAATTCATGAAAAAGCTAAGGTGAATAATAGTATTTTTATTTTTATTTTTTTGGTGTTTTAGGCAGGACCAGATGATATTAGGAACTTTGATGCAGCGTTTACGGAAGAAACAGTTCCATATTCTGTGTGTGTGTCTACTGACTATTCTATAGTGAATGCCAGCGTACTGGAGGCTGATGATGCATTCGTTGGTTTCTCTTATGCACCTCCTTCAGAAGACTTATTTTTGTGAACATTTTGCCATCCGGGAACCATTGAGCAAATATAAACCTATGTACAGACGAGACTGAAATTCCTGTTTGTGTGAATATATTCAAATATGTTTAGTGCCTCTTTTTTACATATAATGTTAACAACTATGAAAAATGTATTTTCTGCTGTATGTAAGAAAATAGTGCATTTCAAAGAGCTAACTTTGGAATTAAAATTTGTATTCTTGTTTATTAAGCTTATTTTTAAACAGAAATTTTTAAAGCTATTGTTCTTAGCATTAACCTATTTTTAAAGAAAACTTTTTTGCTAATGACTGTTTTTTTCCCAAGTTTACACTAACACCTACCCAAGATAGACTGTTTTTCAACAGCCTATTTCAGTTCAGTTCACATATATTAATGCCTTTGTAACTCTACTTTGATCTTTGTTCTCAGATCAGAACTATGCAATTTGTATGTGGTTGTTTAAGAAGAAACCATATCTGTCCATAATAAATCTCTGCTTGCCATAATCAGTCTTGGTAGGATTAAAGTGTAAAAGCATAGTTAACACATTGGCTGCTAATTAACACTTTGAGTAACTGTTCATTCTGCAGGTCAAATTAAAAAGTAACAAAAGGAGGCCCTGGCTGGGTAGCTCAGTTGGGTAGGGCATTGTCCTGATACACCAAGGTTGTGGGTTCGATCTCTTTCAGGGAATAACAAGAATCAACCAATGAATACATAAAAAAGTGGATCAACAAGTGTCTCTCTCTTTCTCAAATCAATAAAAAGGAAATCCTTTGCTTTTGAAATACCAATTTAAATTCATGAATTATTTTTCTTCTGGAGTAAAAGTAAATATTTAATAGTTGACATTTTAAATATTCCCAAACATCTGAAGAGTAATAAAGTACTGCTGGATTTTTTTTTTAAGGTGGTGCCAAAATGAATGTATCTGTGTCATGTATTTATATTACAAATACATTCTATTTATGTTCTTTTGGGCCTTTTGAATGTTTAATATACTGTTAAGTAGGTCTACATCTTGGTATTTAGTTTTGCAAATAGCTTTTCAAAACTGTCTCCCTAATTGGTTGTTAAGTGAAAAATATTGAGCTTTCTAGAATATTTACTTAATTGGGAATTAAAAAGTAGAATAGCAAATTTGGGATTAATATAAATGTGCACAGTTTTACTATAGTGTAACAGAAGTTAAAAATAATTCAGATAGATGCCTAGCATCTTATGTATCTTAGAAAATGTATGGGAAATTGACCTTAAAGTCATACTAAAAACCAACTAACTTGTGTACTTGTAATTGTAAAAGAATGCTTATCTTGGAATTCTGATTTTTAGTTTAGAGATTTTGTAAGTCATGTAGGAAACATTGTGAAAGAATTTAGTGACCCAGTTTAGATGCTTCAAGAACAAGCATTCTTTCCATGTGTTTTCTCTTGAGAAAGAAATCACAAAAGCATTTCACACCAATACCCTTTGGTTTACAAATGTTCAGCAGAATGAGGGGAAGGGTGTGTGCTTTTCTTAGATTAATAATATTTGCATTCAATACACTGAATCTTCCTTTAGAAGTAAGACTTTAATAGCAACACTGTAAATATTTGTTTTATTTGGTACTACTGTAAGTTCTCTTTTTATACAAAGCTCTTTGCTTATAAAGCAAAATAAAGACTAGTTTCTTGTATGATTTTTTACTCAGCCACTCCTTAATTAAACTGCCAAAAATTCAAGTGCAATATTGTATATTTTTAAGAACAAATTTAAAATAGAATGTTGCTGTTTTTTGGATCTCAAAAAAATATAAATCTTACAGAGTGTAATAAAACTAGCAAAAAGATTCATGATCATCTAATGCCTGTCATTATTTTAAATTAAAATTGGTGATAGTTACAGTATCATTACAAAATGAATTTTATATATATATATATGGAAGACAAGTAAAATTTTACCTAAATAGTTGGACATGTAAAAATTACTAGATTTTTCCATATCCCAAGGTGGTAATTCTTTTATTTGAATCCCTAAAGTGTACGCAGGTGAGTCTCAGGTGGCTATACCTTAGAGTGATATGCCAAGTTTTGTGTGTAAATGAAATCCACTTAGGGCAGGGATTGCTATATGGCTTTGTTTCGATGCTGAAAAGGATTCACTGCTATAACATGATAGGCTTCCTTCACTGCCACCTTGTTCTTCTTTACTCACCTGATACTAAGAAATTGCTCTCCAACTTCCCTGAAAGCATTTCAATTGGAGATTTGTGTCATTTACTAATACTGAGCTTTTTTGTGTCTTAACCAATATTGTATAATCATCCATTTGTAATGCTTTAAACATATTCCTCAGTAGGCGAAAGGTTTCCTACACAAAAATACTTCTCATTTTACTATTTCTTTACATTACACTGGTTTTTGCAGAGATAATTAAGTCAGAAAGAAATATAGCTGTCTTAAAATGTTACCTTTTAGGTATTCAAAGTCAAAATAGTGGAGAATAATTTAAAGCGATGTTACACAAAGAAAAAAGCCAATAGAGAAGTATAAGCTCAGCAAGATATAGCAATAAAATAGCCAACCAAAGGGTCCTATACTAAAAAAGTTAATTTTACATAATGTCTTGATAATGATGGGTCACCATATGAATCTTGAGGATTAGTGTAAAACAGAATAACATCACTTTATATGACCCCACTTATTGGAAGAACCAGACACAGTTGGTGATTTTAGAAACCTTGCATGCAAACATGACTTGGGAGTTTTTGTGGTAAATTCTCCTTTGCAGGAATATATATCATGGATTCATCATTTCTTCTAATGTATTCATAATTTTTTTTATTAGGGGACAGTTTTCCCCTTCAATATTAGTTAAATCTTTGTGAGAAAGTCTATAATGAGTTGTCAGCATTTAAGTGTTTTTATGTTTGTATTAACTCATGGATTCCAGAGTCTTATATACAGAAAAACACCCTCTCACATGGTCAAATTTGATCGTGTTGGATTTGTTCGGTCTTCCCAGATGGTAGGTATAGCCTTGCAGTGTTGAATTTTTTTTCTTCTGCCTCAATGATAGTAATAGTGCAACAAGAACAGTTTACTTTGTTTACTGATGCATTGATGCTGAATGCTAGCAATTTATTTAGTAAGATATCCCCTAGCAGTGTGCCTCAATCAGATATCAAAAATTAGATATCAAAAGCAAATAAACTGTTCTTGTTTGCAGATGAGTATCTTTGTAGAAAATCCAATAGAACTTTAAAAAGTTCTGGAACTAATTGATTACAACAAGATTGCATCATACAAGGTTAATATACAAAAATCACTTTTCTTGCCGTAACTGGTTTGGCTCAGTGGATAGAGCGTCGGCCTGCGGACTAAAGGGTCCCGGGTTCGATTCCGGTCAAGGGCATGTACCTTGGCTGCGGGCACATACCCAGTGGGGGGTGTGCAGGAGGCAGCTGATCGATGATGATGTTTCTCTCTCATTGATGTTTCTAACTCTCTATTCCTCTCCCTTCCTCTCTGTGAAAAATCAATAAAATATATTTTTAAAAAAATCACTTTTCTTATATACCAGCAATTTGAAATTAAAAACACCATTTACATTAGCAACCCCCGGCCCCAAAAGGTATAAATCCTAATAAAATATGTGTAAGATCTATATGAGGAAAACTACCTTCTCTCTGACAAATTTGCCTATTCTTGACATTTCATATAAACAATCACAATATTTGGCTTTTTGTGTCTGGCTTCTTTCGCTTTGCATAGTGTTTTCAAGGCTCATCCATGTTGTAGCACGTATTAGTACCTTATCCCTTTTTATGGCCAATTGACTCCATCCACACTTTATCCACTATTTTTACTATTAATAATCCGATGGACATTCTTGCATAAGTTTTTGTGTGTTTCAAATTCTTTCATATCTATGTATATGTATACTATGTGGCTGGGGATTGTTGGCTCATCTAGTAGCTCTGTGTTTAGTCTTTTAAGGCAGCCCCCGGAATGTTTTCCAAATTGTCTGCACCATTTTGCATCCCGCTAGGAAAGTTTTTATTATTTTCAACAAACATGGGCACTGCCGGCCTGTGATAAAATGACCACCAGTGGTTTCTATCTTTTCTGATTTGCTTTGCTTTGCAGGGAGAGAGGGGGCGTGACTGGAGGGGCGAAGCGCCCGTGGGCCCGGTTGCCCTGGTGACAGGGAGG